TTCTCACACTAGAGATGCTTTGTGATTCTTTGAGCTTCCATTCTTCCACTTGTTATTGAGTACCTACTATGCTAGGCACCGAAGACACATCTCTGATCAAAACTCCATGATTTATACTTTCAGGGAACCTGCAGTCTAGTAGGCTTTGAAAGCATGGTGGGTGTTGGCCAGGTGAAGAGAAAGATAAGGATATGGAGGCAGAAGTACAATGTAAGCCAAAGCAAAGAATTGTGGAAGAACACGGCATACTGCAAAAAGTTTGGTCTGCCTGGAGCATAGGATTCATAAAACAGGGAAGGGACCAGGGGAGGTTATGAATAGAAGGAGATACCTCACAGAGGTAGGCAATTTCATAAAAGGTGACAGTGTATTTAAGTATCACATTCCCCTTGGAGGCTTATTTGGACCCCCTGTGGTCACACTAACTTATTACTTCTTTATTTATTGATTCTTTCAAAGGGTCTTTCCAACCGACCACTCTTCTGTCAGGTAATTGACAGTTCGAGGATGTTATAGACCAGAAGTTAGTGAGCCCAACACATTACCTTTTGACTCTTTGACATTTCTAAGAGTCCTCAGGTCAAAATAATGTATTTATTACCACTACAGTAAATATGCCCTCTGGGAAATTTTCACAGGAAGAATCTCACAGGGAAGATTTATGGATTGTAAATAGGTGATCAGAAGTTCATAGGACAGGTGTAAATCTTGAGAGTGATTTGAAAGCGGTGGTGGAACTTTTTCAAACTTGGAAGGATGATGCATAGTAAATCACCAAGTGCTAGAAGACTTCTTCATACTTAGATACAGTGTTAGAAAAATTAGCTGCTTATGTCAAAGCTAACCATTCCCAGGAATGTACTTCACAGTAGCTATGGATGACTTAAAAGTGGAGTTGGACAAATAAAAGATCAGACAGTTTTGGTGACCAGAAAAAAAGTGAAACTTCTCATTTTGAAGCCTTTTATTGTATGGGATCATATTGTTAGCTGTTTAACTCAAGGAGCATTTGTTAATAGTGATAACCAATACCTAACATTTTGAGTTTTTACATGCTCATTGTACAGTTGAACCCCATTACTGACTTGAGAGATGTGCATATATACATTTTGTTCTTGAAGACCCTGAGTCTTAGAACAGATGTGATTTGCCCAGCATTATGTTACAGAGTTAGATTAGGCCTAATAACTCAGAAGTTTCACATTCTTTCCACTACCTGTATCTTACTGTCACCTACCCAACAGGGTAGCTAGTGAAAAATTACACTGTCAAGATAATGAGTGAAGAAGCAGATTTGTTTATGGTGAGGTTAGGGCACTGTTTCACAATCCTTTTTCACATCCTCCCATACATTAAAAAATGGTAATTCTATGGCTCTTTAACAGAAACTGCTCATAGCCAAAGGCCATCAATATGCAATTTCCTGCTGTCCTAAGCCCTGCCCTGGCTGCCTGGAGGACAGGGTGATCAATGTCTCAGGCATACCTATAACCCGTTCAAGGCACATGCATTCTGGCTAGAAAGCTGTGAGTTAGGGTACCCTGTCCCAAGAGAAGTAATGGATCTGGATGGATATCTGAGAGGGTTCAGTATAGAGGGGGGTAGGGGACAGGAAGCAGAGTGCAGAGTGATAGAATTGGGAACAAGTAAAATGTAGGCACTTGAGAGAAAACAGGGATCTTGATGGGAATCAAGAGATAATGTTAGGGAAAATGTAGGGGATCCAGCTGGTTGAACTTTTTTGCTCTCAGGGTTGTGCCAGAATGAGGGACTATAGCCATACTTCTTATCCCCAGTCAGGCTACCTGATTTGATTTAGATTTAATTGGGAACTATTATTTTTAAACACAGTGGTAACATAATGAAAAAGAGAGTTGGGAAAGATCATTCTGGCAGTATGGACTTGAATGGGAGAAACTATAGAAGATCAATACGTTCTTTTATAATTATAAATAACTGAAGAGATTATTTGCAATTTATTGTGGATCTGCTATGTGGCAGGCACTAGATTAGGTTTTCTCCCATTTTTTCCAATCTTAATCTTCACAGTTATTTTGGAAGGTAGATATTGTAATCTGTAGTTTCAACAATGAGGCTTAGAAAGGTTAAATGATTTGTCTGAGGTCATGTAATAAGTGAGTGGCAAATACCAAAGTTTGTGTCCACTCCACTGGACACTGTAGTGGTTTTCAGACCTAATCATGATGCTTCTAAGACCCCATTACCCTTTACTCTCATTCCGAAAGCAGCCCCTGAAGACATCTGGGGCACTGGAGGCCATAGTTGGATATTTGATTACTCTGTTGTCTATGAATATCATGTGGAGATGTTGAGTTTGAGTCTTTAAAGAAAAAGAATTGGTAGGACTTTCTGACAAATTAGATATGTACCTTGGGTTAGCCAGACTATGAGGTTTGAGGGCACAGTCCACAAGACTGCTCTTACTTCTAACACCAACTGCAAGTTTGGGAGTTTCCTAAAACCACCCTTAGGTTTGATAACTCATCAGCAGGACTCACAGAATTCACTGAAAGCTATCATACTGATAATTGCAGTTTATTTCAGGGAAGGGATATAGATTAAAATTGGTTAAAGGAATTAAAGGAAGGAGACACATAGTGCAGAGTCTCGGGTTTCAAAACAAAGTTCCTGTTGTCCTCAGCACATGTTACTCTTTCAGCATTCATGTGTGGCAATATGCACTGAGTACAATAGTCCCCCCTAATCTGTAGGGGATATGTTCCAAGACCTCCAGTGGATGCCTGAAACTGTGGATAGTACTGAACCCTATAAAAGGGCACTTCAAAAAAGTTGGTGTAAAAATAGAATTATAATACAAACTGTTTGAAGTACCCTTGTATATCCTATGAACTTTTTGAAGCACCCTTGTATATACTATGTGTTTTTCAATACATACATACCTATGATAAAGTTGAATTTACAAATTAGGCACAGTAAGAGATAAACAACAATAACTGCTAATAAAATTAACAGTTATAACAATGTACCAGTGTAGTGAACTTTTTGAAGCACCTTTGTACATACTATATGTTTTTCAGTACATACATACCTATGATAAAGTTGAATTTATAAATTAGGCACAGTAAGAGATTAACAGCAATAACTACTAATAAAACGAACAGTTATAACAATATGCCAATGTAGTAGATTGAATTGTGGCCCCCCAAGTTTAATGAGTTGGAGGCTGGATCCCTAACTGTGACTCTGAAGAGGGTGGGAAATACTATTATGATAATTGAAAGGTGGGGCCTTAAAAAGGTGATTAAGTTGATGGTTTAATGGTGGTCATGGACATGGTTCTAAGGGCTTTAAAAGAAGAGCACATGAGAAGTTCTCTCTTTGCTCCACCATTTCGTGATGCGATACTCTGCTGTCACTGAAGTCACCACCAAAGAAAGCCTTTACCAGATGTGTTCCCTGGACTTTGGACTTCCAGCCCCTGAAACTGTAAGCAATAAATTTTGTTTTCTTATAAATTACCCAGTACCAGGTATTTTGTTATAAGCAACAGCAATGGCACCAGAAAATTGGTACCAGAGAAGTGGAGTGTTGCTTATAAAAAAATGCTTGAAAATGTGGAAACAGCTTTGGAACTGGGTGTTGACGACAGGCTGGAAGAATTTGGAGGAACAGACTGTGAAAGTTTGCTGGTCAAAGTTTAGGAGACAAGAAAACCAGGGAAAGTTTGAAATGTTTTAGAGACTGGTTAAATGGTGGTGACCAGAATGCTTATGGAAATATGGACTGTAAAGATGATTCTAAGGAGATCTCAGATAGAAATAAGGAGTTTATCAGAAACTGGAGCAAAGATCACCCTTGCTATGAACTGGCAAGGAACTTGGCTGCATTCTCTTCATGCCTAAAAGTTTTATTGAATATGGAACTTCAGGGTGCTGAGCCAGGGTATTTGGCAGAAGAAATTTCTAAGCAGCAAAGCATTAAGGAGTTGCATGGCCTCTTACAACAGCCTCTGCTAAGTTATGGCAGAAAAGGCATAATGTAAAGCAAGAATTTATGATTAAAAGGGAAGGTGAGTGTAAAGATTTGGAAAATTTGCAGCCTGGACATGTGGTAGAGAAGCAGAGAGCATTTTCAGGGGACCAATTCAATGGTGTAGCCCAGCAGCCATTTTCTAAGGAGATTGGTACAGAAGAAAGGGATTATCAAGAGAAGGGACAAAAGACCTTGAAGGCATTTCAGAGGCTTCCTCTTCCATTACATGCCCAGAGACCTAGGGAGACAGAATGGTCTTGGGGAACAGGCCTGAGGCGCCTTCCATGGACTTGCAGCCCAGGGCTACCTTGGAATGCTGCTCCCCACACTGGCACCCCAGCTGCTTCAGCTGCTCCATCGATGGCTAAGTTGGCCCCAGGTGTGGCTAGACCCGCAGCTTTGGAATATACAAGACAGAAGCCTTGGCAGTGTCCATGTGGTGTTAAGTCTGTATGCTCACAGAATGCCACAGCTGTAGAGGAAAGTTCACCTGAGCGTCAGTATCCTTGGTTTTTATTGAGGCTTTATTAACTAGACATGATTGATTGCCCATTTGTATGAACTCAGTCTACTGGTCAAACGATACCTTGTGACCCAAAGTCCCCACACTAAAATACATAGTTGGTCTTTCTGACATACCCAACCTCCAGATTGACGTACAATCATCAGATGTGACCAGCCCCTGCCCTAAACAAAAACACTCCTATCAGGTATGACATAGAAGCTGAGGGCAAAGACCAGACCTCTCTTTGGGCAAGGTCAAATTATTTACTGTACAGGAGAGACTAAGGAGAGGGAGAAGCAAAAGATAAGATGAAGCTTGTAAATCTAGATACTGGTTTAGACCTCTGAAACCACTGATAGCAAAGGGACACTTGAAGTGGAAATCTGTGGGAAATATGTTCAATTTAGTTTCTGACACTTTTGTGTTATTATTAGCATCTTCTGGATTTCCAAGAGGAAGAAATATGTAGACAAGTGTAAAGATGGTGAACAGACACAGTTACAAGTGTGAACTAGGACGTCATCTGCAGGTAGATGATGACAAAGTGGGGCATGATGGCAGGTTGGGAGGAGACAACATGAACTTGGGGTGTATAGACTTGTATTTGATTCACAATTGATCATGTACTCTTTGTTTGATCTTGAGCAACTTGTGTATGTTTGATCTCTCAGCTTTAGTTTTTTTATTGGTAAAATGAGTATACTGAAAATTTGTACTTTGCAGGAGCCTGTTTTTCAGGATTGGTTTGAAAAACATATGGAAATACTTCCGTGAACTATAAAGCAATAAAACAAGTATTATCCAATTCATTGTAGAAGGAAGAGTTTCAAGAGGCCAAGGAATAAGACTTCAGGGATTCTCAGGAAAAGGTAGTAAGAAGAAACAAAGAGTTTGTGGGAATGAGTAACTTCAAAATGAAGGCAGTTTCTGTAGTGGCAGTCAAGAAGCTTAATTCCAGAAGGCAGAAAAGATACAGGGAAGTAATTGAAAAGAGCTTTAAATTCTATTGAAGTGAAATTTTTGTGGCTTACCTATTTATTTTCTATTATTAGGGGACATTTTTTTCCTGGAATAAAAGGCTTTTATTCTTTTTTCCTCTCGGCTTTATTGCAGTATAATTGGCTCATAATAAAACGCATACATTTAAACTGCAATTAGATGAATTTTGGCATATGTGTACATCTGTGAAACTGTCACCAAAATCAAGAAAACGAACATGTTCATTACCCCCAAAAGTTTTCTTGTGCTCTTGTGCTCTTTGTAATCTGTCCTTGCTGTTCCCCCTTCTCCCACTCTTCTGCTCTCCCCTCTCCCAAGCCAGGAGATACCACTGATCTGCCTTCTGTTGCTAAAGAACTATGCAGTATATGCTCTTTCATCTGGTTTCTTTTACTCAGCACTTACCTGTTGCTAGATACATGTGTGGGAATTGCTGTGTAGAAAGAAGTCATATCATTTGGGGGCCAATTTTGTGTCAGGTACAAAGCCCAGCTGTCAGTCCAGAATAATTTGGAAGATGGTTATTTAGTCTAGTTAAGATTACATCATTGGTCCCCTAGGATATGGACGTTGGCTGCTCTGTTTATATTTGATAGTTACTCTATGGGAGGTATGTGATGTTCAGTTCTCTTTGTTCTACCTAAGTTATTCATATGGGCTTCTAATGTAGAAGCTTTAATAACTCAAACCTGTCTTGTCAACAAATTGAGAGGGATCCATTTCTTTGATTCATTCTCATATTAACGATATTCTCAGACATCAATATATAAAACTAAGATGCAAGTTTATCAGTTTACTATGAAAAATGTAGTGTACTTAGATAGATTCTCAGAAAATTCAAATGCTGATGAGAAAATTGCCTGATTAGGTAGCAGTTACCCCATTGTGAGTTTAACTGTTTTAAATATGTAGATAATGCCTTTGCACTAGGGTAAGGGTGTTCGTGCATCCTTTTCTCTACAAATCTTTAAAATACCACGCATGTGTTTAATTGTTACCATTACAGTGAAGGAATAACTTAATTTTTTACCTTTGAATCTTTGTAAGAGAAAGTTCAAACTTTTCCCTTTTAATCTTGTACCACCTTTCATTGGTTAATAATTTGAAATATCTTGGGAAAAAAAGGGTGATTGTTAACATTGTTGACTTAAATACTATTTAAATAAACTACAGACTTGTTCTGTCTTGAGGTTTTTTAAATCAGTATACCAAAATAGACAAATGACTTCCAAACTTTCTCAGAATCTTTCCAAATAGATTTACTTAGGTACCACTGAATTGATTTTATTAGTATTTATATTAGTTTTCTAGGGCTGCTATAACAAAGTACCAAAGATTGGGTGGCTTAAAACAACACAAATTTATTCTCTGAAACCAGAATTGCAGACAGGATTGGTTCCTTCTGGAGATCCCAGAAGAGAAACTGTCTCTCTCCTAGATTCTGATGGCTATTGTCAATCCTTGGCATTCCTTGGCTTGTGGATACATCACTCCAATCTCTGCTTCTGACTTCATATGGCCTTCTGCTCTGTGTCTCTACCTCTTCCCTAAATTAAATCAAGGATTTGTAAAGGTCCTATTTCTAAATAAAGTTAAATTAATAAGTACTGGGGGTTAGGACATTTCTTTTAGGGGAATATAATTCAACCCATCACAGTATTATTAGGTAATAGTAATGATTATCAACTAGCCTTTATAGTATTTACTATGGCCAGAAGTTATATAGCATTAACTCATTTAATCCTCCAAACAAACCTTTGATGTAGGCTTCCTTTTTTTTTGTTAAACAGGTCTTGTCACTATTTCTGGCCTACTTCTTTTTGCAGTCAAAGTCTACTTCTTTTTTTTTTTCCTTTTTTTTTGTTAAACAGGTCTTGTCACTATTTCTGGCCTACTTCTTTTTGCAGTCAAAGTCTACTTCTTTTTTTTTTTCCTTTTTTTTTGTCTTTTTTCGTGACCGGCATTGGATCG